CAGTGACTGGACTCAACCTGAACATCCCTCTGGGACCTGTTTTCTTGGTATGCGTCCTATATTGTTCAAGATTGTGTGGTTATAACTGTTGTCATTCTCCTCTTACTTATCGGTATGAGCTTGATATTTATGACCCCAAATTATGGAAAAGATGATTAGCTACAAGCAGATTCATAATTTGTTCCAGTGTTAATATACTGATGGATTTGGGAGTTATTATTTGGGGATTTTTTTAAACATGTATGAAAAAATTCATTAATAAATAAATCTAGCTCACTTGCTGCTGAAATGCTTTAAACATGAGGACTGTAACCCAGCCATCACTGCCACTTGGTCCAGGGTTTATTGCCAGCCATGTGACAGGAATATCATCCCATCGCTGCTCCTGAACCCCACGCTACCACTTCTCAGCGAGCATTGATAAAAGCTGGAGAGCAGAGATTGCTATTCGAAATGATGGTTAAATAAATCTCATTTTATTGGGGGTTGGGCTGGACTGCACGCACAGCCTGCATCCATACTGCTCCATATCCGTGTGTTTCCTCTCTGTTCTCAAACAGCTGTTCTCGTATCGTTCTCACTGCTCTGCCAGATGCTACAAATCTGAAGAAAATATGGAGCCCCTTTCTCCTTCCATAGGACTTTTTCATGAACAGCTTGAGACCTGCTGTTTGGTCTAAGGCTTAACCCAGGTTTTCTTAGTAACTCATCAACTATGACAACAAAACACAAGCTTTTAGAAGCACCTTGAACCACGTTAAATGGACTTCACAGTTGCTAGTGTTAACAAGGTTGTAAGAGGCACAATTTGATTTCCTCTCTTGCAAGCAAAGCCCAATGACCTCATGTTCATATACTTGTTTTTGCTGCATGCATGTTATTCATGATGCTAAGGGTAGATGCTGTAGCAAAGCTTTGGGAGGAGACCCTTTGGACTCTTCTTGAGTCTCTTGATTCTCTTGCAATGGACTAATTCCATTAATTAAATGTAAATATTGTTGCACTTAATATCCTTCAGCTTCTGAATTTGCTTTTCTTTATGTATTGCTAGAGACAGGACTACAAGAAATAATCACCTTGAACGTTTCAAGCGTGCTTAACCTTTTCCCCCCAGCCACAGGGCCTTCCCACCTTCTCCTCTAGGCCCTAATCAGTCACTGCAAATTCTAACTGCATAATCAGTCCCCAGGTCTCTGGAGCAATGTGCAGAAGTACCAGTCTGGGAGACATTGAGGCCTTTTGGTTCGGATCTTTTAACCTATACAGTGTCCATCCTTAGTTATTCTGCGCTCCCATTTAGTGTGAATTCATGACTGTGCGAGCGATTAGTAGACTTAAGAGAAGAATTAACACCACAGCAGTGAATGTGATGTGCAAATTAAAAAATAAGACAGAGGAAAATTACAGAACCATTAGTTTTATGATGATGGCTATGCTAGTTTGTTAGGGTAGCATTTTTCATGAATGGGATGAGATCCCCTGATAAAGTGCTGTGTAAAAACAGGAAAAAAAAAGACCTGGATGAGACCCCTTTTCTAAGCTGATCTATCAGGTCAGCTTCTGTGATTTACTGCTTTAAAAAACCCTCCCTTCTTTTACAGGGTAGCTAACTAATTAAAGGATGTTTAACATTTTTTTCCAGGAGTCCAAGTTAGCCCTTTGATACCAAAGCCCTCTTTGTAGAGTTTAGTGAAATAGCAATGGTTGGGTCATTGCCATGCTCACGTCTTTAATGGTGTGTTTTAATTAAGCAAGCTAAGCAATGTGCTTATTTCAGGAACACAGGAAGTATCAGCGTTTCTCATGCGGAAAACAAGTTTTGCTTGAAAGCTTTCAGCAAATATTGTCGGTAATATGGGCCAGGCCAGACAACGTTGACAGGCCTTCGTATTGAACCCCCTGGCCACCCATTGCCAGCACTCACAGCATCATCACAACTTGCCCAGCATCTGGTATTTTCATCAGACCTCACTCCCAGAGTCATGTTATTGTAAGAAAATGCTTTAAGAAGTCTGTTCATAGGCTTTGCGGTTGAAGATTAAAAGTTTGAAAACACAACCCTCTAGATCTCAAAAGCCAAGAAAATGAACCCACATGTTCTTTCTGAAATTGGTGATTATTGGGATAGGACTAGTGAGCTGTGGGTTTGTGTGATATGTATCATTCATGTGCATCCTCCATTACAAGGGTGAAAATACAAAGTTCTCCGCTCTCCAGAGTTGTTCAATGAAGAAAACAGGAGCATCTGAGGTGTGATAACAAGTCAGGGAGCACAAAACAGACCTGCTTGAGAGGGCAGCGAGTGATCCAGCCTTGCAAACAAAACCAACATAGACAAATCAAAGCAGTCTTGTGCCCAGGATGTGCTGCTCTTCAGGGTCAAGCCAGTATATCCATGCAGCTCTGGGCCATGCCATGGAGCGGTATCATTCACTTGGAACTGGTTGGAGTAATTCAGATCTAGGGATGCATTGCATAAATTGTCACATCTGCCATTTTGCAATGCCCTGGCCACTGCAACAAAGCAAGAGTGGTGCTCAAGTGCTGCCTGTTGCTTACTAAGACCCAAATACAATGAATATTTTTACTGGGCAAAGTGCATCATTAACTCTACTTCATGCTGTAGTGAATCTGCATCTCTCCTCCCTGGCATCTTGCTTCATTTTTTTCCTTCTGCCAATCCACATGAAATTGGAGGCTTCTTCTCTGAGGTTTCAAGCTATAGAAGTTTGCAGAAGGTAAAGTGAGAGACTTCAGACCATAATTTCAGGATAATTTGCCACAACTGTAGAAAATTTGAAAACAAAATATTTTATGAAGAATATAATAGATTCAAAATCTAAAATGAAGGTCAGAGTCTCTTCTTAAATCTATTGTCTATGAATAAAGCTTTAAAAATACACTGTTTTCATTATGTCTTATCACAGACCTCATCATGTGTTGCTAAAAATTTCTGAAGGTCACCCTTTCAACTGCTACTGTGTGTTTCAATTGATTAAATAAGACAAAAAGATTTTGTCTTTTCATTTTTTTTCTCTTTAATATCAATTATTATACTTGTAAAGGCATAACCATGGCTTAACTTAAATTTTTATCCAATAATACAACTATAGAGAAGATGGGAGAAATGCTTCCTATCCAAAGAAAAGTTGATCCTGTTTAAATTCTAGTTTAAATTACTCATTTTAAACAAATTCTGATTCAGCCTTGCCAATCATAAAATATTAGATTTACTGTTTATTTTCAGTGGATTGCTGCCAGTTTTCTTCTCCCAAAATGCCTTTAGCTTGTTTAAAACATTTTTAAAAATTCACATTGAACATACATCTACTTATGACTAATCTGTATCGGATTCTAAATGGAGATGTAAAATCTTATTGTTGAGAGGTGAACTTTACTGTTAGAGAATTTTTCTCTGTTGACTTTATGGTATTATTTTTCTATAAGTCTCAAATGTGACAAATTATTTTGTGCTTATGTTGCTTATTAATTCTTAATAGAGTGAGAAAAAAGAAATCCAGTGAGAGAGCTTTAGATTGCTCTTTAGATTGTAGTATGTTGCTGCGATCTGTTTAGCTGTTTGAAAACACTATCCTTATCCTTGCAAAACTCGTCAGCTGCAACTTACAGTGCATGAACCCTGGGCTCTGTCTGTTCTTCAGCTGTCAGAGACTAAAAACCTCGTGATTCAGTGCTGAAGAACAATACTAAGGACACATCAGTTGTATAATAAAGATCTAGACTAATCCCTCCTGAATGAGGTGGCTTCTTGGAAGCAGCATCATTTGCCTTTTCCCCCTAAAATGTTCTCTTCCAAAAAGGGACCGTTTTGACCTAACCTCTACTGTCTCTATAGTTTGCTTTTCATTTATTGAATTAATAAGTTTATTGATTTTATTATGATCAACAAGGAGGTCCCAGATCCGCTGCGGTGATAGAGACAACATGAGTGAAGAAAGTTTGAAGGGATTCTCTAGCAGAAATGTTTGCAGAAAAGAAATTTGAGCTTGTAATTTGCCTGCACAGCTGCAGCCAGGAGTAAAGAAGGAACAGTTCCCATTTTCAGAGCATGTCGTCTGCAACACAACACAGAACAAGCCAAAACATAAACACACCTACCTCCTAGCTTGCTCATGACAGTCCGTAATAAATGAACGTGCTACAGGTTTAAGTGTCGCTTTGACATGCTACAGAAAAAGGACTGAGTTGCATCAGGTTTGCTCAGTGCATTTCTAACTGTATCTGAAGTACTGAACTGTTTTCTTTTTTTTTTTTTGGAAATACTTTTGGAAGTGGGAGAAGTTTAAATGTGTACAATTTATAGATATTAATAAAGTACACTTTCTTTTGTTCTTCATCCCAAAAATAATAAGTAGAAGATAGACTAGGTTTTGGCTGCAGAGTAGGAAAGATCTAGGAAATGTAAGTGTAGGAAGTCAAGTGGCTGTTTGGATATAGCATTTGGAAACTTTATATATAGACTAAAAAGAAAAAGCGGAGGAGGAGGAAGAAAATCTCATCTGTAATATTTATGGAATTTTGTGACCATTTCTGGATTAAGAGTACTTTATGAAGCACTAGATCTTCAGTCAATGAAGTAACCTCTGATTTAGGTCCCTCTGCTGCCATCTTGCTATATGTGAAATTCCTATTACAGAAAAGGACTGTGGTGTCAACTTACCAAGAAACATACTTTGTGAATTATGTTTCCTCACCTATCATTCTGCTTATAACAAAAGATTCTAATAACTTAAATACTGCCGTTCCTACACAACAGTTTATTTTGATAAAGAACATTTCTGGGGCAACACGGGTTAGATTTTTTGTCTGTGTCACATATAAATCTATCTCAGAACTATGGACTCTCATGTGGGTTAGATTTTTTGTCTGTGTCACATCTATCTCAGAACTATGGACTCTCATGTTTTGCACTTGCTCAGATTTTTTTCATGCTTCACTAATACTGTCTCTCTTTCTGTGTCCTGTGTGACTATTTCTAGATGTTCGACTGGATCAGCCACAACAAGGAGTTGTTCCTGCAGAGTCACACGGAGATCGGCGTGAGCTACCAGCACGCCCTTGACCTGCAGACGCAGCACAACCACTTTGCCATGAATTCCATGGTGAGCTCGGGACACGCCAGGACCGGCTGGGGCGAGGGGGTGATTGAGGAAGGGGCAGGCACGTGAGGCCGTCTCCCGTTCAGAGGGAGCCCTGGGCTCATGTGAGAAACGTGAGGAAGACCAGGCCAGGCTCTGCTGGCAGCAGCCCTCCTTCTGGGAAGCAGCGGCTGTTGCTCAGTGCACACAAACACTGAGATTTCCTTGATTTAAGACCAACACAATCCTGGGCAGTTTGTTGTTATTTTAGAGAACAAATACAATATTTTTAAAGTTTTTGACATTACTCTGGCACCAGATTAATGAGATCTGTAGGCATCACTTTAATCATTTATGCTTCTTCCCCCCACCCAGCTGAGATACTTTTCAAAACTGTGAAGAAGAGACTAATCAAGCTGTCAGTTGTGGCTGTGCTGGGGTTGTGGCTTTTTCCAATTTTTCAAAAGCTGATCGGTCAGTGCTTTTCAGTGCAACTGGTCTTACTTTGGGTGCAAAAAAGAATTCTCAGTTGTTCCTGGTATAGGGTGTTTGTGTCTGGAAACTACTGGGCTTTCAGCACAGAAATTGGGACAGAATGTGTCCATGTTTTGGTTGTTGCACTTAGAAATATCTCCGCATATTCCCTGCTGAAACTGCACATCATAGAGACCAGCCCCCTCTAAGTGCTGTTAAATGCACAAAAAATTTCCCCCAGTCACCTAACTCCTGCAGATAGGCCCCTTCATGCTGTGCATGGTTAGGCTATGTTTGCAGGGGTACTGGGACCTCAAAAGTGATTATTGGCATTTAAGTTTGAGACTTAAGGCACTGGAAAACACCCCTGTGGCACTGCCAAGGGGCAAGGTACTTGAGAGCAGCTCTCCGATGAAATGTGAAAGAGAGGTCCGGACCACCTAGGACCGTTACAGACTGCACACCTCTTTTATAAGATCACAAGTGTTAATGCTGCTATCCTGGCCACATTCCAGCACAGGTAGTTAAATTCTCTGACCTAAACTCCACCTGCTGCTTCAACACACCTAGCTATTCCTTAGGAAAGTTCTGCACTCGCTAGGGCAATACGTAACAGTGGAAGTTGACAAAGGTTTACAATGTAAATTAATATAATTATTGTGTTTTTAATTTGAATGATCACTGAAAAAACAGGCTCTAGGCACTTGATTATTAATTTTACAGTTAGAAAATACTATCTAGCAGAATACAGGGTAGCACAGCCCCCATGTATCATTGCTGTTCACAGAATTCCGTAATGTGCTGTTCATTATCAAAAAATGTGTCCTGGAGGTTAATGCATAAAAAGTCCCTTGGATTATGCCAGATGCAAAGTCAGCCATAATCCTCTAGAAAACAATGTCGGAAGAGTCAAGCTGAAGTACCTGCCTGCATCCTTTCTATGGTAGTCTGATGTTATTTTGTTAAAATAACTGGGAACTGAACTTGGAAGGAGAGAATTAGTTTAATAGAAAATTAATGGGTGGCAGGGAGGGTGCCACCTAATGGAAGAAAAGTTAATTTCCTTCACCATTCCTCTGTCTGTCCCCAAGTGAACTCTTGGGAATGAGTAATGCCAAGAAAGGAGACATTTGCAAGGAACTTGGGGGACCTTCTGAGGGCAGGTAGCTCCCAGTGGCTGTGCCATGGCCACCCCACCATGTCTGTGCTGCCGAACTCCTGTGTGACAGAGCTGCCCAGGAGAGACCCCTTCTGCTAGAGAGAGCAGTGTGGGGCAGGTGATGTGTCTCCCATTTTGCTCTGGCCCTGGTACAGCCCCCACACGTATAGTCATATGGTCATATAGACCAAACGGTCAGCATGGGCGATACAGAAGCGAGGGTTGTCTCCTCCGTGTCTTCAGCACAGAGGAGGTAGCTCTGTGTATGGGCGTGATTAGGGGGCATCTTCAACTTCCAACATGCCGGTGTGGTGGGAGGTGACACTCAATTCTGCACTAATTAATTAGGCTCAAATGTATGGCTTTATGAAGGAACCTGTTATGATATATTTCATTTAGACTCTTTTCAGATTTATTTCAACTGTCAGAGGTTACATAAAGAATTGATGTCATCATTGATAGTAGGTCCATGTGGGGAGGGGGAAAGACTTCAAAAATATTTCAGGATATAGATGCAACTCAGGACTGTGTTCTTACCTGAAATGAGTCTCAGTGAACTTTGTCTGAAATACCAGCATTTCACAAGGGCTTGAAATTCCTCATGATCAGAAAAATTTCTCAGAACTCTCCTGATTGCCAAAGACTTTTATTCAGATTGATATTCTGCATAATGGCATTTCAAGGGAGGATTTTAATGCCAGGATCACACAGTTTGGCCATGGATGTCAGTTTTACAGCCTAATGAGGTTACTCGTGGGGTGTCCCACTTGGAATTAAACAGAGCTGCTGCCTTGTAATGGAGACCAGAAAGCTTCAGCATCCTGTTTGTGGAATGGCAGACATGGGGCTTGCTGCATTAAGGTGAAAAGAGGTTTTGAAACTGGTGGAGAAGGGGTGGTAATCTTAAACCCCAGGCTCTTTAAACTACTTGTGTATGCATATATGTAACTATGCTGTGCTCATATCCATACAGTACTGTAGTTACCAGTGATGGTCTTGGAGTAGATTTTTGCTAGAAAAATGTCGAGTGCTTCCTGGTGTCTCCACAAGTTGGTAATACAAACGCACGGGTGTTAGCATGCAGGACACATCAGCTTGCTGCATAAGGGTGTTGGGCTGCATACTAGTCACTCACTGTGCAGAGCATGCAGGAAAAGCAGCAGCAGGAGGAGACTGAAATTAAAATGACCCTTTCCTGGCTGCAGCCCGGGTCCTGTGCTCGATGTGGGTTTGTGGACCCGTGAGTGCTGGAGCTCTGTGTGTGTGTGGAGACGCTGCGTAGTAAGGCTGAATCCTCTGCCTTTGGTCAACACAAGAGCCACTGATGGGCAGGGGTAGCCTGGGGACACGGTGACTTCCTTGAATTAGGCAAGTTTGGAGAAAGATGGTTGTGAATCTGAAGTGTTCAAGCATAGTGGCAGGATGGCATCCTCCACAGGACTGCACAGCAGTGTGAGCCATTCTCTGATTACTGGGAAAGTGAGGCTGGGAATACAGGTCAGGTCTGCTTAACCTGTAGCAACACTTCAGTGAAGGAGAGTTTTGCTGGGGACAGATATTAGTGACAAACACCATCACAGCTAGCTGTAGTTTATTGGGGCAAGATATACAAGGCTTACAGTCTTTTTGAATGCAGAGTCTGCTTAGTTGCCTTTTTTCCCCAGTATAGTCATCTAAGAAAGATTATAGTCAATAAATTTGCAAACACATAATCACAAGAGGTACACATGACTGCAACTTCACTTCATTGCCTTATTTTTGCAGTGATTTCTTAGTTCAGTTGTTCATGTTGCTGATTGATTTCTGCTGGAGACTGTGAAAATGACTGATGGATGTATGTGTGATATTTGAGAATACTTATTATGACAATAATACTAATTACCACAGTAATAGTGATAGACTGTAGTAATGTCTAAGTCACTGTCCTAGAGGCAATACATTTAGAAGGAAGAAAAGTGTTTTGCCTTGCAGAGTCTGTTGCCAAAGGCTTTGCTCTTACAGTGTTTATGGATGTGACTTACCTTTGCATATCTGGAGTCTCGTTTAGACTTTTTTATTCAAAGTTACCTGTGAAAATATATTTGTAGGGTTGAAGATTGTCATTAACTAATGCAATACAGAAGTAAAAAACAGAAATCTATAGCTGAAGTGAATTTTCTACTAGATATGTACTCACTTGTATTTACTATAATTTGCATTTACTAACTGAGTATTCCCAACCTTCTCATTGTCATGCCATGGGCTCAGGAGGAGAATGTTAGGAAGCCTTTGCTGTCCCTTTCCCACAAAGGAGAATAGGGGACTGCCAGCCTCAGATCTGTTTGCCATTCTGGATAGAGGATTGTGACACACACAGGTCTTAAAACTTAACATTCTGATAAATTTTGATACACATTAGCATTCATATCAGACGAGCCTTCAAGCTGTCTCATGCTAATTACCAAACTCAATTACTTAGGTACCGAGCATCAGGCTCAAGATACAGAGATTGCCGCTAACATTTAAAACCCAGCTAAATAGCCCTGTATCTTTCTTAGTATATCTTTTGGTTTCTAAGTCCCCTAGGTGCAACTAGATCATTCTATTAACTTTTTATCTAGAAATTGTCTTTATATGTTTGCTGAAAATTTGTGTGATAATTTAGCTAGTTTTTTATGCAGTATATTAGTCCCAGCAACTGCTTGACTGAGAACAATTCAGCTCTCATGGATCTGAGTAATAAAACGATAAGAACTGGAAGCACTTTTTTTGGTTTGGAGTGTTCCCCCTCCCCAATACATTAAAAATAAGTGCTGAGCAAAGATACAAAGGATAATGCAGCTCAGTACCGTTGTATGTTTTGCAGGAAAAACCCTACAGACTCCAATGGAAGCTGGATCAGATCCTGGATGTTTAAGCAGTTTTTTTATTCTTTATTTTTATGGCACGTCTAATGCACTTTAGCCCTGGCATTACAATAATAGTTACAGTATTCTTTTCAGTTCTTTTGGAAAGTGCACTGTCTGGATGTTTAATGCTCAAGCCTTTGTCACATACTCTTCCCTATACATTCCTATAGCATGCTGTGATCAAAGCTCATTCTTGAAAAAAAAGAATAATATCTTACTCTGTTTTTTACAATAATAATTGTTCATTTAAATTGAACAATGTGGCATGTGAAAGGAGGAGAAAATATGGTTATTTCAGGTAATAAACTGTAGGCCAATGTTATTCTTTCGGATAATGACCATAGGTTTTTTCTTTTGTGATTCAAGCCAGGGTTTGTTTTTGCTTAAATTTCAAAACAAGAGATTATACTTGGCTTTTATCACAGTGGTGTATTTATACTGAAGCAATACTACATTTCACTATGATGAATATTTAGCTACACCATTTTGTGAGTAACCTCATTAATCTAGTTAATTTACTAGAAGAAACCACAGTGTTTCAATATGACACAAATCATACTGAGGGTAGCTCTGCACTTAGCTGGATGGTATAACGTGCTGTTTATTCTAGCTGAAACTACTCGTGTTTCCTTTGCCAGGACCATTCCTGGCCTTGGCTTGTTAACGTCCCTAAATAATGAGCGATCATTTTCTGTGCCCATAACATCCAGGGCAGGGATCAGGGCTGGAACTGCTGCCCGCCCTGCTGCCAGGCAGCACTGACACTAGGAGAGGTGCAGATTGTCCTTAAGTCCCAGTGCATTTCAGACATGCTGCAGTTATCCAACAAAGGCTAATGATGTCTTCTGAAGACTTCCAATGTTTATCGCGAGCGAACTGTATTTTTCTCTATGTAGGCTGAGCTAAAATGCCATCCGACTTTATTCGTCAACAGGGTACATGTAATTAGCCTTGTTACAGAAACTTAAAGATCTTAAAGATATCTCATGAGAATATTTTGTCACTGAAACATTCTCCTTGGGATTTATGTGCTGGATTCATTTCACAGATGGTTTCTAAACTCTCTGAGTAACAGTGTGAGTTGGTTATTTTTTAAAGAAGAACTATTAAACAATCAAATTTGACCTTTAATTAATGAATCTGTCAAACCTTGCTCTTATGGCCCACCTTCACTGTTTGCCATCACAATATCTCAACTAGTTCTCTAGTAAATGAGACCAGCACAGCCAAGTTCCTTGCAGATTTAATGCTTCTTACTGCTCACTTTTCCTTCCCAAATGTGTATTCTTTTTATGTGGCGCATCAGAAGAAAGTCTTCCAGCTAGAGTGGGAAGGTTTAATTAAGAGGGAAGGTCTCACAGCATGCCTGCAAGATGATCAGGATTGAATGCATGTATTTCCCTGTGGGAGATGATTCCATAGTTGAAACTCCACGCTTGTCAGTGCTCTTTTGCTGAGACTTAAGGCTGTTGCCTTAACACGTGTGAGGGACTCTAGCCGTGATCACATACACTGGAAAGAGCAGGTAGGTTGCTGGTAACGAAGGTCGGAATCGAGGCCTTGTTTAGGCAGAAGCAGGTGGTGAAATGGTGGATGTGCTTGTATGACATGAGGTATTCTGCACTTGAATGGCATTGCACAAGTATTTCCTAAATTGACATGAGAAATTATTGCATAGCATGACACCTAGAGCCTCTCCTCCCTGCTCCCATTACCCCAGCTGTCTAGTTATCCCTAGGAGGCAAAAAAAACCCTTGTTTTTGCCTGAATATTCAAAACTTTAAGAAGAAAGTCAATAAAAAATTAACTCTCACAAAGGAACTGCTTCTGGAAAGGCTGCAAATCTATATAAAATACAGGTTTTTCCCTAAAGTGCTTTTGGCCTTACTTTTAGACATTAATATATGTTTTTCACACTGTTTGATCTATTGTTCTCCTGTGTAGCCATAAATCAGTGCTACCTTGCAGTCCTCTTTGGGGAGACCTCTGGTCTGAAAACAACGAGGGCCTCAGGTATTTATAAAATGAACCGTGTGTGGACCTGCTAGTAGTAGATTTTCCAGCCTAAAGGAAAAATAAAGTCTTGTCAGTTGCCCTCTTTCATTTACTTCCTTTGGGGATCAAAAGGTCTATATAATAATAATACAGAAAAATCTCAAATCATTCTGTTTTAGAGATGAGCAAAACCAGAGGGAAAGGAAGGTTTAATTTTGCAAAACACCGATAGCTGAATCTTGGCAGCATAGATCTTTGTTCCATTTTACTCAGTGTTACACATCCGAAGATAAAAGAAATTGTCTTATAGCTTTATTCCGCCTGAAGGTGAAAAAGAAATGGCTTGTTTTTCTGGATCCTTGTCAAGTATTTTTTTTTCCCTTCCTTCCCAAACTAAATTCTGGGAAGCTTTGAAATCATGTGTCATTTTACCTCAACTCACATTAAAGATCCAAACAATGTTTCCCCTGGCCCTACCTTCTTCAATAAAAGTGACACCGAGTAAAAGTCCTGTAAAATGTTTAACATCTGATACGGTAAAGGATAGTTAGACCATGTGCTGTTCTGAGTTTCAGATTCGAGCCCTAATTCTGTCTTGGTTTTCTGTGAGACCTTGTCCAAGGTCTCCTGTGCCCAAGCCTCATTTGGGCCTCTCGGAGGTGGGGTGGTGAAGTGAGGTGAAGGGCTTGCAAAGCGGGCATTGCCCTCACACTCGGGGCTCTACAGAAGAGGACATCCCACGTGTGAGAGTCTGCACTCGAATTCCCGCTGCTCCTCTCTCCTTGCCGGCCGTTTGTCAGGCAGGAAGCAGCAGGGGAAGCTCTGCAGACTCTCTTTTCCTGAGCCAGCTCCACTCGGGGCTCTGTGGAAGGAGGTATGAGCAGGTGGCTCCAGAACAGCTCCTGCTTTTCGTTGGAAGAGCTATGAAGTAAGTGGGTTGGCTACAGGACAGATTGGTACCCTTCCATGAAAAATCCTCAACTAGGAAAAGGAAATTTCATCCATGAAAATCCTCTTTTCTATATAAAAATTTAACAAACAGACGTAACAATATATAAATCTCCCTAACTTAAAAAACAGACTCTAGGAACATCTGCTATATTTCAACTAAAGTACCCTTCTACTATTTAATACATTTACATACTAGCAACAAGGAACGAGAGAATTCACAGTTGTTCTCCTCTCTCTGAATCATGCTCATTGCATTACAAATACTGAGATTATTCTGCAGGGGGAAAAAGTCATAAAACCAAGAAGAAACTGACCATCGTTTATGTGAAATTGAAATTTCTGCAACATTTCCTTCAAAAACAGTCCGGGTCTTCAATGGGTGCAACTCATCCAGACTCTTGCAACTGCAGCAATCCTATGCTGCTCTCCACCAGGAGAAGAGCTGAGCTGAAATGTTAAAACCTGATCTTGGCTGAGGCTCGGCCATGAAGACTCCTTGGGAGACAGGCTTAAATATTTATTAGTCTAAACTACAGTCTCTGATTTGGAGGAACTTAAAGAGGTGCTTGACAGTATCAGTGGTGGTCAAAATTCCAGACAATAACTTCTTTAAAATACTTTTTAATCCAAAACAATTTTGAACAGTTTTCTTTTAATTGTAAGGGGAAAAAAAGTCTTTTTTCTCTTTAGAATTAATCTGACATTTTTAAGCCAAATGAAAATCCCAAGAACATGCTATGGCATAAGGAAAGAATCTAAATTGGAGGCTGGGTATTTCTTTAGGTCTTTCTTATTTTTGCAATTGCCATCACAGTCTTGGTTTCACCAGGGAGAGCAGAATGACTGTAAGAGCTGTAGCCCCGGTCTTTTTCGCTTTAGCCCCTGTGGATATGGTGAGCAAACTTTGCAGTTACCCAGCGCACTCTGCAGAGCTGCTTTCCCCTGCTTTGCAGCCTAGTCTGGAGCTGTGCCTGCCCCTGCAGTGCTCTGTTGTGTTTCATATTTGGGTTGGCAGATGCCTTTCCACATTGTGCTCCGAGGAACTGCGATGAGTTCCTGCTCCAGCGAACACTTCCACTTCTGATTTATTATTTGTCCAGGAGTAGTACTGTTAAAATCATCAGAGCTCTGTCTGGCCTTGTGCATAAGGCTCTTCAGGACTCTGTTCTCTGGATTTCGTGAAGCCCTTCTTGAAACATCTTAATGTGACAAGAGAGCAGTGAGTCAACACTAACAAAACCTCTCAAGTGCAGGGAGTTCTCCTCCCTGCAGTGAGAGCAGGGAAAGAAGGAAAGTGTTTACAGCACATGAAGTTACAGAAATACACAAATAGCTGTCATTTGTCTTTCCATTGTGCATCTTCGTGAGACGTTGTCAAGATAGCTGTTTATTTGAGGCTTATGTTTGTATGCAGAATTGGGATATTATAGTGCTGTCCGCAGTTCAACTTGAGAAAGAACGATCCCTTCATGGCTTCAGGGCTGAATATAAACCATTATGAAAAATTCTGATGAAAGAATAGAAAATATCACCCTTTTAGTAGTCTTCTGATTTCTTCTAAATTCAGAATGTAGTTAAATGATATCTCTGCTGGAGAACAGTTTAAAATAATCTACAGAAAAGATAACATTTTCAATGAAGGATATAATTTAATAGTCATTTCTATGGAAACTCTTCCTTCTATAGAATATCCTTATGAGTGTACTTGAATTTTTAAAGTTTTGCATTTGTCTGCACATCTGCTAAGAACTGTCAGAGAGTTCCTGGAGGACAGAACACAAATATTTCATTTCCAAATATGTGGAAGTAGTATCCAGAAAATATGAAGTAATGCAGCAGAAATATCAAAAGCAATGAGTAGACCTTAGCAGGGAAGCAAATAACTAAAATAGAGCAAATCACCTAAAGTGGTTTTATCTAAATAAATTGAGAAATAAGTAAATTCGAGGAGGGAAGATAATGGTGTAGATGTGCAAAAAGATTCCTGGGGGATTTTTTTTTTTTTTAGAGTGGAAGGTAGAATGCCTGCTATTCATGCATATTTAAACAGGTGCTTGATTGCTTTCAGTGAACTACTTGGCTTTACTCCAGCTGCTGGTGTTTGGAGTGTGTAATGAAGGCAGAGGGTGGTCACGGTTCTTCCTTCTCTTTATTTACGTGTGCTTTTTAATTTTCAGAACGCCTATGTCAACATCAATCGGATCATGTCGGTTGCATCCAGGCTTTCTGAGGCAGGCCATTATGCTTCCCAGCAGATTAAACAAATTTCTACGCAGCTGGATCAGGAGTGGAAGAGTTTTGCTGCGGCTCTGGATGAGCGCAGTACCATCCTAGCCATGTCTGCTGTCTTCCACCAGAAGGCTGAACAGGTGGGTGACACGTGGGACTGGCAGAGGATCTGCCCTGTCTTACAAGTGAGGATTCAGCTATGAACCTAAGTTGATTACCTTCATTTTCCAGTGGCAAGCACTATTTTGGGGCTCTTTCTTCACTGCTGTTGTGCACTTGTTTTTCTATGTATTTAATGTCAAAGAGACTATGGGGTTGTACCTTGTGTTTATATTATGACCCATACTTCAGGTGGCTGAAGAAGAAATTACAAGTGATGTGCCAGAAACTTTGTCTCATGAGCCAAAATATGTATGGAAAAGTCTATCCAGAACCATACAGATCTTCTTTGTTGTTTCTGACCACAATTAAAATAGTGGTATTTTTGTTGTTTGTTGTTGTTGGTTTTTTTCCTTTTTCCATGCTTTTTATTGACAACTGGCCATAGCCAAGAATAAATATTCACCTTAATGGGCATTTACTCATGTAAGCACTCTCATGGGTTGTCATAGGACAACTGTACTAGGAGGTGCCCAGTCCCAGTAAAGGTGCTTCTATCTCAACACATTTGGCACCATAATGTTTGTCATAGTCTTCATATTAATAATCTATCGCTATATGTTCATAATGACAAATCAAAAAGAGTTGATATCCAGTCATCCAGAGAATGATTTAGATTTTGTTTATGACATCGTCACTGGGGGGGTTTTACAAGTGATCTCTTGTTTTTTGAGTTGTCAATTTTGTTTGCAATTTATGTGGAGCTTTATCACTTGAAAAGCAATGACACAGAAAGCTGTGTTTAGTTGTCTATCAGCTAGAAATGATTTTTTGTTGTCCTTCACTTGTACGCTCTCAAAGTGGATGCTTTGCCTCAGCCTTAACTTGAAAAAAGCTTCAGTGATGACACAGTTTAAACGTTAGTTCTTTCTTCTTTACAACTGAATCAATGGATCTGGAAAACTCAGTCCTCTCTTGTCAGCTCTTTGAAAAGAACTTAATTTTGTGCTGCCTGGCAGAGGCTTGTCTCAGTACTATGGAGAAAAGAAAACGTGCTAATTCTGAATAGCAGTTACCCCTCACTTACAATAAGAGACAGCTCAGGGAGAGGGAAGTGCTGATGTGAAACCTGTAAACTCAGCTGAAAGAAAGAAATGTGGGAGTCTGTGGCAGCCCATTAGTCAAAACTGATATGCAGAGTTTGCTTCAGAAACTCTGATAGGATAAACCAATGACTTGCACGCTAATAGTTTAGTCATAAACACCTTGGTGTGCTGTGAAAAGTGGGGTGACTGGAAATTGGTCTGTGCCTGAGCCTGCGATCTATCAAACAATAATTCCAAATATGATTCTCTGTCATTTGGCATCACTCAGGGTTTTTACTCAAAGCTGGAATTTCTCATTTTACAGTAAGGTTTAGATCTCTGATGCGCGTATCAACAAAGATCTAGGAAAAACTACTGTTTCCTCTCCCCAGACCAAGTCTTTTCTGTTCCCTTTGTTCTGCCAGTACCAGGAGTCTCTATTCCTGTCTCCCCGCGCGTGCCCCCGCCTCCCTCATCCCAATCGGATCCGCAGATTGTCTTTCCTTCTCCAGAGTGATGAGCCGCTCCAGTCCCTTTTTCATTCCTCCCTATTGATTGAAGTTCTCTGGGATGCCAACAGGAAGCAAGTCTAATAAGACCGTGATCTTTCAGCTTTAGGCACGCCACAATTTGCAAGGCAGTTGTTGGCTTGGAGCAGAGATCTGTGAAGGATTGCTGTGAGCTCCATAATATGCAAGCTGAGCAGGAAACAACTTGTTTTTCAAGGTCCTTTTCCTAAAGACCCCACACAGCAAACTGCATAGGATACCATTTGTCTGGCTTAGAAGGATGAAAGGCTGAGTCAACCCTGCTGGGAATTGAACCTCACATCTGTCTTCATGTGCCTTGGAATCACGTTGCTATCCTGGCTGTTACTGCAGATCCATGTGGCATGTTGAACCGAACTTGGCTGGCTGAGCTCCTGCATCAAAGCTCGGTTTTTGCTTTTTCTTTCTCTGTGCGTGCGTCTTTGCATGTGCACATGTGCCAGTGTGTGTCTGTGTCTTCCTTATTTTTTTTTAAAATACAGTTTAAAAATACCAAGCTATCATCAAAAAAAAAAAAAAGACCAAAGTAAAAAACAAAGGGGAGAAAAAATTGAAAAGGATATCCAAATCTGGCCAACTTAGCCTCCAGCCAGGCTGTCTTCGGCACAAGTGTTTGATCAAAAGCCAGTGCACTAAGCTCCAAATCCCCAAATCCCCAATATCTCCAGGTCAAGGTACAACTCTGAGGACATTGGAGGTGTATCCCAAATGTCTATTAATTCAGATAGCTATGAATCTTTTTTTTTTTTTTTTCCCCCTCATAACAATGTGGATATATTAGGGTGTGGAAGGTGATCTATTTTTATATTTTTTAGTATGACTGAGGCTAGTTGCAGGAGAAAAGAGGAGAATGTGCCTTATCTCCCTTTGGTTGCAAGGGAACTTTTCTGATTTACACCAGATGAGATTCCAGCCACCTCACTGCCAGGTGGAGGAAGGAAGGAGACATACCAGGTGTCCGGACTTTCCTGCCAGCAATCTCTAAAAGGCTGCTTCAGTATTCCTATGATGCTCGCTAAAAATCCTGTCAGAATGATCAGATTAATGTCTTAAATCAGCCAAGAGATCACAGAATCACAGAATGAATCACCGAATGGCTGAGGTTGGAAGGGACCTCTAGAGATCATCTAGTCCAACCCCCATGCTCCAGCAGGGACACCCAGGGCACGGGGCACAGGGTGGCATCTGAAAATTGACCTGGCAGTTCTTTCCATATTACCTTATTCCAGTAGCCTTAACAGGAAGGCTACTGTTCTCATCAGATCCCCGCCTGGATCCCTGCAAGCACATCATGGAATGTCCTCTTTGAGGAAAGAAAGTGAAAAGAGAGGAAGAATTTGAGAATTTGCTCACTGTTTCATCCAAGAGATTCTTGTAATAGCCCCAGAAGGTGTTGCTCTCAGTTCCATACTGTTAAAACTGAATAGGAAATTTGAATTCCATGAGCTCAGAGCAAAATATACTTTGGCTTTATGCAGGGCTGTTTGGGAATTCCGTCTAGAGAGGTTCAACAGATCAAGAGTCAAGTCAGCCCAACAGCTCCTGCCATCCTGGCCACTAATCTTCTGGGAAACACATTTTTCCCTGGTAAATTGGCACCTTGTAGAACACAAATGCCTAGGAATTCATCTTTGTCACTGGATCTTTGTGCACTGAAAAGAAGTGTTTACAATGCAAACACTTTATCACCTTGATTACACAGCAGCATGGCAAATAGCTTTACTCTGCTAATAAAAAAAAAAAAAAGTAGATGCTGAAGCCAGAGCCAGAGTTGAACTGAAATTCTTTGCTTTGAATCTCCCAACTCTTCCTGCTCTGAGTGGTTTACTAGCAGGCCATGGGTGAACACTTCAGGCGTGGATAAGGCTGTGGTCATGGGGGTGGTATCACTGCAATATACATCCCTCCTACAGGACACTGCATCTCTTGCATAATTAACTACCTTTTTTTCTTCTTTTTCTAAAATCCCTAAGTATGGAAGGCTGGTTTAACAGAAAAGTGGAGGAAGAGAAAATACTAATGAGAAGCAATTAAGTATTTAAGTATGGACAGAAGGGTAGTATGTTAGGCACTGTGTCACTGAAGTAGGCCCTGCTGAAAGGAAAAATATGATGGGAACCCTAGAGCTTAAATGCCTCTTTTCTTTTACAGAACAGGCAGCACCTTGGAGAGCTTCCCCAATTTGTTTTGCCAAAATGCATCAATTCTGCTCTGAAGGCTTTTAAAAGTGGAAAGATATTTCTTTCCATCCCTCTGCTCCCTAAGTCTGTTCCTTTTCTGGCTGTCTTTAAGGCTTCCAACCAAGGTGCTAATCCATAACAATTGCGGGGGCAGTGAATTTTTTCCGCCTTTTTGTGGATGTCTGCCTACCACGAACTGGCCTCAGACCAACAGCTCATTTCACATTGGCTACTGAGCAGCCATCAGATGGTGACGGTATCTGATCACTGCTGACTCGGGCCAGAACCAGCTGGGTGACCCAGAGGTTAAAGCCTTGGTATCCAATTAGCAATCCCACTGAGCTGGCCCTGCCTTGGAAACTGCTTCAGGATGGGCTGTCTGTGTTTCACCAAAGTGGATGCCAGCAGGGGTGTAATGGGAGCTTCCTATTACTTAAATCAGTGGTGTTAAGGACAGGTGAGCAACTGAAGACCGATAGCTGACACGTTGCCAAATAGGTGTCGCAAATATAGCTGTGGCCTTCTGTGTTTTGTGCTGATGTTTTTTTCTAAAGCTCTTGTAGTATCTCTGCCTGGTATGCAAAGACTCTTTCGGTGACTTCTAACCCTGCTTAAAGGACCATTTGCTTATACCAAAAGAAACATGAACTATTCCTTTGAATCTAGGTGTTCCTGAAGCTCTGAGGAGGGGGCAGGAATGTCCTGTTTGAGAGAGGCCAAAAGGTTCCTTTGGGGGCTGTTTTCCTTGGTCCAAACTGCAGTCATCTAAGCAGCTTTACCTGAAGGTGATGGTGATGAGCCATTGCTCTGGGTTGATGTTGCTCATTGTTTCTGGAATTGTTTCAGTTCCTTTCAGGTGTGGACGCCTGGTGCAAAATGTGCAGTGAAGGAGGCCTCCCCTCAGAAATGCAAGACCTGGAATTGGCCATCCATCATCATCAGTCTCTGTACGAGCAAGTGACACAGGCCTACACAGAGGTATGTGCCTCCTGGAGGAGAACTTCAACAGCTGCTGTGTGATAGAGGACACTTGACTGTCTTTGGGGAATTAGCTTTTCTAAATAAGATAGATTTGCTTTCTGTCACTGCAGCTTCTCACAGAAGGGGTCAATCTACTCCTAGGCTGTAGGATTTGGGCTGTGCTCAGTGTTCCTCTTGCTAGGACAAATCTGGAGGATAAGCACTGTACAGAAATGGAATCTGGAACTGGCATTGGTGCTCTGAAGAAGAGCTGTTTCACTGCCTCTGCTGAACAGGAAACCCCTTTCAGCTGGTGGTACTTTTAATCATGTTTCTTTCCTGCTGTGAATGAATCCTGGCTCTAGCTCAGGTGGAATGTGCTAATGGAAACAGAGGATGAAAAAAACACTTTTCTCTAAATATATGAAGTCACAGAGATGCCAGGTCCTCAGTATAGCGAAGGCTGTAAAAGGCTGCTTTAGGTATATTTGCAAATGCTTTTGTCAGTCAACACCTAAAAGGGGTGTGTTCTTTTCCTTTGAAACTGCATGTCAGGGATGCTAAGACTAAAAATTACCCTATGACTTTTTGTCAAAAAAACTGTAAAGATTCTTCACATACTTTTTCCCCTCAAGACTTATCTATCCTGCAGTATGAGATAAAAGCTGCTCATAAACAGCCAGCATTCAGTTTACCTCAGTTTACCTGAGGATCTGACCCCCACATGGGAAAATCACAAGATTCCACCTCTAGTATAGGAATGTAAAAAAAAAAACTTGACGTAAGGGGCCATGCTTTGGAGCAGCTGTAGGTATAAACAGGCCTATATTATGGCAAACGGTTTGCAGGAAGGTGTAAATCGGGAGGGACTATACTAGAGATGTTGTAGCACCAGCCTGGGGACAGCATCAGACCAGTCATAGGCCCCAGGACCAGTAACAGGACTGTGTGAATGAGTCCGGCCAGCAGGAACTTGCTCTGCTTTAATGAACTGCATGGCCTTGGCCTCCCGTTCCCAGTGCTGATTATCTTCTCGCGTCTATAATAGGATGCAGTGGGTCTCGTCACCTCCTCTGCCTCTTCCCTGCCCAGCAGCTCTTGCCGTCTCCATACCATTGCCATGGTAGAACCCGTGCCCTGCTGTTCTTTGCTGAAGTTCTGCTCGGTTTCAGTGTTGGGCACCGCTCCTGGCTAGTGCCGCCGTTCCCTCTGTGACCCCAGCAGGGTTCAGCAAGTGCAAATTGCTCCCGCTGGTCCTCGGCAGCAACCGGTTTTTGAATATGGAAACCCATTCCCTGGAGGCTCCCCAGTCACTTCCTGACTTAATTCCAAATTGTCCTGAATCTTTAAAAAAAAAATCTCAATGACCTGCCTGGCCCCACCTAATAGGATCAGATTTGACTCCTAGTTTTGCCAATGTAATCTCAATGGTTCTGCAGATTTTTCTGGAGTTGCACCAGATAGCCACTGCTACAACAGATTGGGCTGTGACATGACTTGCCAAAAGGCACAGCTTTGGGATTAGAGGATAATCGTTTCCTTTGAACAAGCAATTTGTGATACAGAAATAAATGAGACATGGAGATCCTCAAGAAATGTTTTCAGTTTCACTGATGGTGCTCTATATTCGCAATGGGTGAAAAAAAATTAAATGAACCATTCTCTAGCAAGGTCTCTGGTAGCCTGGAAATAGAAACTCTTCTCACGAATTTTGTCACTTTTTCTGCATTTTGTTTGGGAGGGAAAAGAGAGAAGAGGATCCTCATTTAACATTTCTGTTGGAAGGGATATTTGATATTTAATTTTCAATTTACAATTGCAATGTATTTCATAAAGCCATTTTTAGAGGACATGTGCATGCAGGCACTTGTTAATGTTTGTTGGCATCTTGTTTCTTATGGTTTATTTTTCATTTTTCCCCTGCAATATAAAAATGTTCAGGAAAGATTCCAAGAAATAGCTTTTTTTTTTTTTAAATGCCCAATACCTTTGCATCTGCAAGTGTATCCTAGTATGCACAAAAAAGCTTGTACGTGTGCAGATGGCTTTGCATTTGCAAGCAAACCTTGTAGGTTCACTGGAAACTGAGGTTTTAGATCCCTCTGATCTATTCCTGGAGAAGAAAAGAGACCAATTTATTTTTTCACTGTCACTGAATGAAATATAGAATCTGAATGTCACACTTCTGAATGTATATTCATATTTACTAATCCTACAAAGAAAGGCTTCTCCCTTATCATACAGGAGCGACTGCCATCTGTGGCTTTCTTAAAATGCCACTTTCCACAAAAATAGACCTGCTATTGCAAATGCCACCTGTCATATTCCAGTACATGTCGAGATTTCAGTGCCCAAGCTCCAGCCCATAACGTAGTCTCAGGGATCTCTGTCCCCGTTCAGCCCCGGCAGCTCTGTGCTCCTGCAGAACGGCCCAGGAGGCCCCATAGGAAGCTACAGCAAGTGATAAATGTTTAAGTACAAATCAAGCATCATCAGCGGGATGTTACAGGACTCTGCTCACGAATCTGCCCTTTCCACTAAAATAAAGAGACACAGTGGAAACAATCAGCTAGACTGTTCTTTGTCAGCAATTAGATGTTTAAGTATCAGCACAGTGTTGATAAACTTATTTCGTCTCTTAGGTGAGCCAGGATGGAAAAGCTTTGCTGGATGTCCTACAGCGTCCCTTGAGCCCTGGGAATTCTGAATCCCTCACTGCTACTGCCAACTACTCCAAGGCTGTGCACCAGGTGCTGGATGTGGTGCACGAGGTCCTGCATCACCAGCGGCGCCTGGAGAGCATCTGGCAACACAGGAAGGTCCGGCTACATCAAAGGCTGCAGCTCTGCGTTTTCCAGCAGGATGTTCAACAGGTAATGATGCTGCTAGAGGAGGAAATGAATGGCCCTTTCTTTGGAGTCCTTAGGTTTATTTGGTGTCTTATCTGTAGGACAGTGACACAACCAAGGTTAAGTCAGCATGATCTGTGCTTGATACATGAAATGTCTAATTCACTTTTCTCTACCTCTCATTTTCACATGAAGTCATCAGTCAGTCCCTAGGTCAGCACAGAAATGGGATGCTAATTTTAGTTGTAATTTTTAGCAAATGAGAAATTTAGCTGTAAGTGCTCTACTGTGCTTGGGAAAAAAAAAAAGATGTTTAACAGGGGGAAAAAAAAGTGGGGGGAGGCAGGGGCATTCCAGTGTAAGATAAGGATTTGCTGGCTCAAATCAACAGCACAACCTACTGAGCAGAACCCACCTCAAAAATAAAATTCACACTGTGCAATCTGAGCTCTCAGAGGTAAGTTCGTGGGTAAAAAAATCTTTTCTTCCAAAGGAATCCACCTGAATCCCACTCCAATAGCATAAATGGCAGTAAGTGTGAGATTTCATGCCCGTGGCTGCTAGCTGCATAAGGATGATCATGGGATGTTACAGGACTCTGCTCACTCAGGAAGGTGTGGTTTGGTTAAGGGCCTGGAAACAGGCCAAAACTGATGTTGGCAGCAGGATGGCACTTGCTATAAACGAGGAGGCTGAATGGTTTGTGTTTATGGAGGGTTTTGATGTGCCTGGGTTTCTTTAGGCCATTGGCCTTCTCTCAATAAAGTATGAGGTAGGCACTGAGTGACAAAACTGACCTAAGCAAAACAGACATGAACCAGCAGTGACAGGTGACAGACACCTCGTATGCAAGGTGGAAAATTGTGCTCCTGGGAGAACCACAGGAGAAGGGCACTAGTATGGTCAGACCTGCTGTGGTAGAAACCCTTTGCAAATAAATTTGACTGTTTACTTGACAGACTTGAAAAGTTTGCCATAAATGTACTGGCTAGGTTTTTCCTATAAAATCACACAAATATTCATGCGGTATATATAATTAAAACAGGGTTTGAATGTAACAGATGCTTAATTTAAGCAACTTCACTTTCGTTATATGTCAGCAAATGTACTGCATAGTAATAAAATTCATAAACCATACATTAAACAGCGCATGTACTTGAAATGCAGTTAGAACACTTTCTGCAAAGTATGAACTTTGAAGTATTATACTAACAAGTGTTGCAGTTACAACTTCAAAAATCAAGGGTTATAAATTCTGATGGTTTTACGCTTTCTCCAATTACACTACATCATGTTAATAGGAATCCACATTAACTTGAGTATTCTTCATCTGCTAGGGTGATCTACATTTTTGTTTGTTTGTTTTTCAATCCTCTGGTCCAAAAATTCTCCTTTACATTTTCTGAAATGGGTGCAAGTGCTTAGAAGGGTTATGGAGGAAACTTCTACTTGTCATTTATGCGTGGTAATGAGAACCTGTCATGACCTTTGCTTCCAAAGACAACTAGTCTTTGTGTGTACTGATACTGTTGTGAGAGAGAAAAATACAGGCAAAAAGAGTCACAGGGTAACAGTTGCTTTAAAGAGTGTCACTCTTGGTGTGGGTTCTGTTGGCAGCAATCTTTCCAAATCTTTCTTTTAATGCATAGTTATTATCTGGGAAGCAACAGCTTAATGACAAGCGTGTTTCTGCCCCAGCAACGCTTGCTGGCGGCATCTCTTTGTCCTGCTTAGAAAGTAGAGAGGAAGAGATGAGTCATCCTGTTCGCTAAACATCTGTACTATTCAAGATAAATATCTGGTAACTCATAAATTATCAGCTAAATAGAAATGTGAAGTGTAGAATCCACTGGGAGAAGGAAGATATTTGGGTATGATTTTTGCAAAATAATCACCTCATGTATATCTGTCATGCAGTTCCTGTTGTGATTATTTTGTTAAGTGCGCATCGTTTAGCAGGTGAAGCTGTCTATCGATATGCTGTCACTAAGCATAAGTAACATTTAGCTATTACCATCTTCTGCCCTGTCACATTTTACTAACACTTAACTACTTCTCCTATCTTCTGGTCTGAACCTAAAAAGGAAAACCTGCGGGAGAACAAATCCTGTTGCACATACATGCACTGACAAGGAGTACTTTTAACACCAAAAGTTTTTAGCATCATTATAAAAACATTGGTTTGCTGAGCATGTAAATACCTCTTTCGTTCAGTTGTCTCTTAGAGACTCTTTGTGTCATTTTAGATAGGTAAGAGCTTTGTTGCTTGATTCCTTAAGAACACAGCTGTGGGAGGAGGTGCTGCAATCTTATCCTGCAGTGAAGAGAAAAATCTCTTTAACTTTCATACTGGTATTTTACAATTGCTACAGTTCTTTTGATTTGTTTTTGGTAGCTTTCTTTTTTTGCCCCTGAGTCTTTCCTTTCTGTAGATTATCCTCCAGCCAATTTAACCAATTTCAATTTACACTGAAAATTGAAATTATTCTCATGTTATCTCCAGTATTGCCTACCTTTCTCTGCTACTTCCTGATTTACTCTGCCTGCCTCTGCCCTCTTTAATATGTTCCCTTTGCCCCTGTGAACAGTAACACTGTAAAACAGCAAGGGTAGCCTGAGGGTTATACCATGAACAGATGTTGTTGAGCAGCCTTAGAAATAGCTGAATTAAGTTTATAATGTTGTTCTTTACTCCATGGTCTCCCCCATCACCTTTTTCTTCACAGGGGCAGTAATTTTGTCTGAATTCTCTCACTTCATAAACTAGTTCAAGTGAAGCTGTGAAGCCTGAAGCACACCCATTAAAGCAGAAGGAAAGTGGAGACCCATCAGATGCATTATTAAATGGTCTGTGGAAGCCTTGGACTTGGCATTTTAAAGCGCTTTGGTGGCGGAATTGTCAGTTTGCTGCTCTTATTCTGCAGCCTGTGTCCCTTCTCATGGAAATTCTCAGTGCTTTTGTCCATCCGTGTACACAGACACACATTGACACCCAGTCTGACACAGCCTTTTTCTCCTAAGAGTAATGTGATTATCTCTGAGGTCACTGCCAGTGCCACTTCCTACTTTTTTCATGTAGTTGTGATAGCTGCCTGTAAAGGAAGAGCTATAAAATAGGTGGATATTGTGGTACTGTCTGTGCTGGAGGATTTTCTCAGCATTGTGCGAAGCCCTTTGCTCGCAGGGGTGGCTGTACGTGGCAAAATGGAGCAGGCTTCTCGTGCCAGGTAAAGAGTAGTGGTGAAGGACAAGATATCACTTGGTAATAGATGCTTATTGACACCTGGGTAGCCACTTACTAAGAAAGCCAGCAGTGTTGCTGTGCCAGTGTTGTTGTGTGCTGTAGTGATGTCTCAAATCTTTGCTATTAAAAACTCAAGCTGGACCTTTGTTAGGGTCACCTGGATTTCTCTGAATTTGTGAGTCTATGTTCTGTTGGCTTCATGCTCAGCTACGTTAACCGACACCACTTTGGTTTCTGTGCATGGTTATCTGCTTCTGGTGTTGAATAAAGAAGCCATGTGGCCCTGCTGATATCATTACATTTACCAGCTGCCAGGGGTGCCAGAGACTGCGAAGTATTGCAGAAAAAAGGCTGTCGCTCTTCATAACCAAGCACTTTAACTTGTAACGTGTCTGGCTTTTTCTGGCCAAGAAACCAGATCATACCCTGTTGCTGACATCACTTGTATGGAGAAAAATGTCCTGCCAGCATCTATCTGTCTCCATTTGAGCACACTGTGCACTTCATGTGAGGCATGAGATCTACGTAGTCCATTTGCAGAGGAACACTAGGATATTTGAGGCAGTTCATGATTCATTTAGCTTTCACATAAGATGTTAGAGGATTAGGTTTGTACTTCCCCCCACGCATGCACACATGTACTCAGTTGTTTTGATCACAAGGCAATGAAGAGTTCTACAAAATTCTGTACTTTTCCATCTTGGTCATAGCTTGTTTCAAACACAGAAGCAAGTAAGCTATATATGTCCTTTTAGGCTTTATATACAGTCATTGTCTTCACTGACTCTTTTAAAACAAGAGATTTATTTGCAAACAGTAACTAAGAAAAAAGGACATTGCAATCAAATAAAGATTATATTTACTTCTACCCTCAGCCCCAGCACCCTGCAAGAAGGCATCACATGCTGTATACATCATCCAAGCAGATTTAGCCCATAGGAAGCTATCACTGACAGATCAGTAATCAAAACACTAAAATTCAAAGTATCCTAGCGAATTTCCACGGCCCCTTTGGTAAAATTATCAAGTAATGAGATATACTTAGTGTTTCTCACATGCCTGTTTGAGGTATTTGTGCTACGCGCCTCTCTAAGCTGCTTCTCATACGTAGAAGTTATACATGATGTGACCACCCTGAAGATGAAAACGCTACTTAGTAGTGAATGGAGGTTTTAACTTGTATTGTCCTACAAAGGAATGGAAAAAAATCAGGAATCAATACTGGTAAAAGTGCTTGGCAACCTTCTCCCAGTCGGAAGTAAGAGGAGAGAAATCTTTTTGTTTTCCATGACTGAGAGATCAGTGCCTCTGCATTCATAACACTGGCCTTCCAGCAATTGTTGAGGCCTGAGTGTCAACGCTTGATTTATAATCCGATATCTCGCATCACACAGTTCTGATAGATCACAGTGCAACTTTTCCCTATGTAGCTCTTGAGAAGGTAACTTAATAAAATGTCCTCACCCCCAAGCCTACTCTATGTCCCTAACAGCCTGTTCCTTAGCACTTGTCCAATGTGGAATAAGCACACACTGTTATTTATGCAGTAAAGGAGAGTAAGTCTATAGTAAAAGGATTATTTTGTTTGTTTCCATCCTCTCTTTGTCACAGACCATGAAATAAAACATGTTGGCAACTGTTTGTTAAGAGCAATTTGCATTCCATTCCTTTCCTTCCTGCCAAACGAACTGGCACCTTTTCAACCAATGTTAGTGCAAGATTAGGCAGTGGAGAGATGTGTGGCCCCACTCGTCTCTGAAGACGCCTGATGAGTAACTAA